GTAGTGGTAGTGGTAGTGGTAGTGGTAGTGGTAGTGGTAGTGGTAGTGGTAGGAGTAGTAGTAGTAGGAGTAGTAGTAGTAGGAGTAGTAGCAGCAGGAGTAGTAGTAGTAGTAGTAGTAATAGTAGTAGTAGGAGTAGGAGTAGTAGTAGTCAGTAGCAGTAGCAGTAGCAGTAGCACCGCTCCCGGTCGACGGACCTTTTTTTATGGGTTGGGGGACAGGCATTGATCCGCGGGCAGGCCGGCGGGGGGGGGGGTCAGAGGGGTTTTCATCAACGGCCCAGGAAGGGAATTTGCGATACTTTGCTGACATTCATTCAAACTACCTTCCAACAAATTGATGTTCAGGTGTTCTCACGCCAGTCAACGATTAAGTTGAAATTCCCTTCTGTGAGGTTTCAGTAGAGTTTGTAGGGCTAGTTCGTGGTTTGCCTTGAGTCCGGATTCACTTCAGAGTAGGACTATCAAGTATGCTGCCAATCCGCACGATGGGAACCAGTTGAAGATCCGCAAAGATCGGCCATTCATTTTCATCGCTTCGTGTCCGTTGGCTCTCGCGAGGTTTCTCGGTTCCTCGAGCGGTCGGCGCGCCGCACTGGCTCGGTGCTTGCGAGATCGACACCCACGACATTAAAGACCTCGGGAAAGTGGTCATCGAAAAGGGCCAACAACAAATACAGCAAGGCGCCGGGGTTCGAAGTGGGAGAGCCGGGGGTCGAGTTCGACGGACCGCCTCGGCCTCAATTCCAGTCTGTTTTGAGTCGGATTCGTGGTTTCAGGCGTCAAGTCATGGCGGAGTGCTGCAGGCCTGCGCTTGAAGGCAAGGTTTTGGACTGGTTTTCTAAGGAAGATACAACCACTGACTCTCGATTTGTGGAACTACCCTGTTTGAAGAACATAATCATCCTGCAGTAGAGATGGCTTTCATTTTGGAGTCTGAGTTCTTGGTGTTCTACCGCAGTTTGAATCAGTTTGACATCGAACAACACATTCAAGCACAGTCTGACAATGACCCAATCCGTCCAAGCGGGCTCGTACCTCTATGACTTGGCAACGTGCCCTGCACCGACAGGTGCTCTGCTGAACATCGGTTCAGAGCAGTTTCATCATGTTCATCTCTTATTTAAACATTACATCACGAGCTGTTCATCTTGTTCATCTTTGTTCTACTGTTTGCCATTGTTTGCTGATGCTTCATTGGTCAATTCCCCCAAAGGTCAACTAGGTCAATGACCGAGATTGGTTGAGTCACTGATCAATTGCTGAAAGGACTTAGAACAAGATGTAGACTGTAGACATGCAATCCCTGGGTCAGCGTTGGAAGCTGAAAACACTCGAGATATTATGAGGTGCGAAATTTCCGTGTGGATGGAATTGCTTCGTTTTCTCGTGATTGACGATCGTGAAGCTAGCTCTGGCTTTGCACAAGCTAGCTCTTGCAGGATGCATCTGCTCCGAGCCTTTCAGTTGAGCCAGAGACTTGAGAAAAAGCATTGGTGCGAAACGAGCAACTGTGATGCGCCTTTTTATTGCAGTGATGCGCCTTCGAGCAAAGAAAGCATATGGACTGCAAAGATCCTGGATGTTACTTTTTCTTCGGCTTTCCAATGGTTAGCTGAAAACATCGCGCCCAGGGGGACTCCCACGTCCAAGACGCCGCGAAGTAGCAGGACGCCCAAGAGGCGGGGCCAAGATCGACGGACCGGGTCGATCCCGAGGATTCGACCCGACCGGGTCGGTCCAGTGGGTCCTGGGTGGGTCCCTTATGGTCCCTGGTTCATGAACATATTCTTTGGCACGTAGAAGAACGTGATCCCGATCACTTTCCAGATACTTTTTGTTGACGTGTTAGCAAGCCATGCCTTGGACTGACAAGCATCAAGTTCTTTTTCAACGAGCTTGAGCTTTTATGAGTGGTCAAGCTTGCAGCAAGTGCTGACAGGACAAAGAGCTTGACTGGGGCCAAGAATGCATTGTCGTCTGCTGAGGTTGCACTCTTTTGTCAGAAGATGTTCATCGATTCTCCTTCTTTCCCAGTTGAGAAGAACACAGACCTAGCGGACCTAGCGGTTTCCCGCAAACCGTCAAACCATCTTCTTCGTGCAACGTTCGTTGGCAAAAAGCCTCGAGTCGTCTCCAAGGATGGCGCGGCTCATTGGTCCTGATGGAAACCTGGCCACAAATGCTTTGGCAGGCGGGAAACCGGCGGTGGGTGGATCACCCGTCACTGGCTTAGCCGTGGGGCAATAAGCTTGCATCAAGTGACCGGGACCCTTTGGTCTTGGCTGGACAAATGCTTCCAGCTAGTGGCCGTTGATGAAAAGAGTTTGGACATCTATTGCAATCCTCCACTACGAGGTATGAACCAATCAATCCTGTCCCAAACCCGGCCAAATCCATGGAAATGCTATGAAATGCTCACGTCGGCCCAGAGCAGGAGAGGAGGATGCCTTCCGCCTGCAAGACCTACCCGAGGGCCGCCGGAGCACTTGAGTGATGTGGGCCGGTGGTGATTTGGAATACTTTCCTGTTCCACTGGTCCATAGAATGAAGCGTTTTCTTTTTTCTATTTTTTTTTCCATGAGATTCCTTCTAGATTGGTACCCCGTCGATGGCGTCGAGACCATGGTCGATCGCCGTCGTGTCGGTGGCGTCGCCCAGGTCGAGACCGGAAGCGCTACAATTGCCGCAAGGAGCGACGGAAGAGTCCCGCTAAGAGCTAGAAGCTACTAGGTTGGAGGCCATCGCTAGCAGGTTGGAGGCCATGACTACTAGTAGCAAGAAGCTGCTAGGAGCAGCCACGTGGGCAACTGCGGACGCAGTTGGGTTGAACAACCACAGGCACATCCACTGGGTCCCGCACAGCAATTCTGACCTTTCGCCTTCAGACCCTTCAGTCAATTCCTACTGGTACCATCTGGTACCCCAGTTTCTGATCTGGGTGAATTTCTTCAGTCCATGAATGGAGTGTATCTAGGATATTCTAGGATATTTGGGTCGATTCCGGAGAATCACCACCGGACGCCCAACGAAACCCATCACCGCCTCCGGAGCGCGCCACGGACGCAGAAAGCACGTCTGCCAAGCACGCGGCGGCGCCCGCGCGATCGGTGGGCAGTCGGACGTCAGGATCCATGGGTGGGTGAAGTCATGGACCTCTTGGCCGAAGAGGTGCCACTCGACGGATCCGCCGCTGAACGAGGTCGTCTTAAGACCAGCGGTCGACTTTTGGGGAGAACGCAAAAAAGGAGCCTCCACCTCCATGGCAGAGGGGGAATGCAGACTTCTCTGAGAATGAGTCGCTCAAAACAAGTTTTCTTGCTTTTCCCGGTGTTAGAGCTGTTCGCAGGAAGCTTCAGTTATGTCTTCATCAATACTATGTCATGAATGTCATGCATTAATGCAGGGCAGCTTGTTTAGAACCTGCAGGTTTCACGTCTTTTAGAGGCAGTAGACCACCTCTGCTCGACCATGGTAAGCCAAGGCGTTACGTAGCAAGACAAGCTCGGGCGCGTGCATTCTTCATGGTGTGTTGTCACTTGTGACTGAACAGATAGTTGGCAAATCATTTTTCATGGGTTCTGGAAGCCTTCAGGTGTTTCTGAGAAATGTGGAGCAGCCCTGGTACCTTGCGCCAGAATCTTGGTGAAAGTCTGCCTCTACAGGGAAATCGTCGCAACATGGTTCCGACCAGGAGCTGGCACTAGTCTTCAGGCTCGCATTGTCGTGCCGAGCAAAAAGATCATAGACCACGCATTTAATCTCTTTATTCGAATCTCTATGAATGCGCCAACTGTGGACAGTTGCTGATTTCAGTTGCGCCAACTGTTGTGAGATGTCACACCTTGATGGCAACTTGATGGCGATCCACCCACCCGGACCTCCCCCCTGGGCCGTTTTTCGAGGCCTTGCATGGAGCAAGGCTCCTGCCAACGAGTATGCTTCCCTGCAGAGCCCGGCCGCCTGGGCACGCTGTGCACGAAGTTAAGAGAGTCCGAGCTTGAACAGCAGACTCATAACTGCCCTGACCAGTCTTCCCAATGATGAGAACTAAAACAGCAAGCCATATTTGTTGTAACCATCTCATTTAGCCTGGATGTATTGCCTGCGTGGGCTATTAAGGTTTGCCACTCGCCACAAGCGCGAAAAGCAGGGAGGACATGAAATGCAAGGTGGTTCGTCCAACCACAAGGCAGGTTCTTCAGTATTCAGAGATGGGGCGATTGACCTTCCTTCACCCATCAAGGTGGTTGCCGTTTGGCAACGGTCCATTCTTGGATTCAGACGCCTAGATTCAGCAAACCTAATTCATCAACTGTTGGTGTTTGCGCCAAGTGGCCCACTCGTCCTCATTCTCCATTCGCTTGCTTTGCCAGGGCAATGACATGTATGAGGACGGGCGCCGGACGGGCACGGACGCGCCGCAAAACATCGCGTCCGTCCTTCCGGTCGCACCGCGCACGGCAAGGAGAGCGAGATGAACTTCGGCCTGCCGGATTTTGCTCAGGCCTACGCCTGCCGCTGCGGGGGGTTGCGGCGGCTTTTTGCCACAAAGGCAGCGATCTGTGGCCACATATGGACCACCGAAAATGACGGTCTGCTGAAGAATGATTAGAATTGAATAGAATGACCTGCCCTTCCAGGGCTAATTATATACCTATTCAATCCTATTCACAAATAGCTGCAATTGCATGCACCATTTTGAGGCTGGCTTTTCGCTGGACAACACTGACGAGCTTGGCTGGCCGGACATGAATGTCCCCAACAAGCGGGGGAGCAAAGATTTTGGCCCTTGCTAGTGATGAACTGATGCAGTGACTCGTTGATACATTGATACTGTCCTTACGAGTCATCGAGCAACAAATTGGCCATCGTACAGTGCAAATACATGAGCCAAGACCCAATGGTTGGATATATTTGATACTGATACATCTGATACATCTGATACTACCCACACACACACATGTTTGTGGACGGACGAATGAAGCCGCCCTTGGCTTAGTAGCCTCTCCAAGGCTAGGCTTGGTGCAAGCGATCCACCGGAAGACCTCCATCGAACGACTGTGCCTCATCAAGCCCGGTGGCCGAGGGAGGCCGTTTGGAGGGTTCTCTGGTTTTGAATCTGCAGGATCATCGAGGTGTGAGGCTCAAAAGTGGCTAGTGGCGATGATGCTGAGATGCAAGATGTCTTCTTGAGCTCATGAGCTGGGGATCTGACTTGCCACGCATAAGCGCAGTTGTCAGGGAACGAAGCAAATGTATGTATTTGGCTCTTGCAGGTGGTCCAAACCTTTGGATTATAACAAACAGATACGTTCATACAAAAGAGCCCCCAACTCCAAGTGTTGCAGATTGGGCTCTTCGAACTCCTTTCCAACCTTACCCGAAAATGAGGCGCCCGCGCGGGCGCCGCGCGCGCATCATCGAGGCCCAAGCATGAGCTCCCGCCCAAGAGCGGCCCCAAGGAGGCTCCCCACCGCATGTCGTGTCGTGTCGTGGCGTGCTGTGGGGCTTCGGCCCTTGAGCTGAACACCTGGTCCGAAGTGCCCAAGCCATGGAGCGGGAGAAGCAGGTCCCAATTCTCCGGTGTCGGTGCAGCGATGTGGTGTTGGTCCTCGTAGTCGCGGTTGACAGGTGCGCTCCTTGGTTCGACAGCTTCAGAAGTGTGACCATGCCAATGTGCTCTATCTCCATGAGGCGTGGAAAGTGTGAGCATGAGCAGAGCATTGGCTGACATTTTATTTAGACGTGTCTAGTCTGTCTAGCGATTCAGGAAGGTCATACCACTGAAATCACCAGCGGGGGATGTTTTGGGTAGTGCTGAGATGCCGAAGTCCAGCATGCTGTAGCCACTTGAGCGGGTGCTTGTCCTTTGTGCTGGGTGCAAAAGCGAACGGTGAAGCTTGATGCAACCCTGCAAGCTCGACCATGGGGTAGTTCATGTTTTCGTAACACCCAGATCTTGTGAACACATTGCGTACGTAATTAAGCGGTCGTGCATTTCAACCCAAACGATTAAACGATTAGAAACAGCGATTAAGCGATTAGAATAAGCATTCGATTAAGAGAAGAGAGTTACTTTTGAGAAAAGTGAGGTTCCAATAAGAAAAGAGAGGTTCTTTTGAGAAAAGACAAGTCTGACTAAGAGAAAAGAACAGTTTGATTAAGAAAAGAGAGGTTTGATTAGGAAAAGAGAGGATCCATTAAGAGAAGAGAGGTTCGATCAAGAGAAGATAGGTTCAAACAAGGACAGTGAGTTTTGATTAAGAGAAGGGAGGCTCAAATAAGAAAAGTGAGGTTCAACTAGAGAAGAACAGATTCCATTGAGAGGGCCTGCTCCATGCGCAGGCGCAGGGAATCTCACTATGTGGTGGCGTAACACGCAAAAACAAGGGTAGCAACAAAGCGCTCGACAAACACGCCTACCATTCGATCCGAATTCGCATCATGTACGCAAAAGTTTCCAGGTCTGAGAAAAAATGAGTCTCAACACTAGCCGTTTCATCGGATGCACTCAGGTTGACGAGAGTTATCCTATCCTCCTTCGTGAACCACATCAATAACTAACTTTCGTGACATAGGAAGACACCGTGCTTAGTAGGCAGGCAGGTAGGCAGGTAGGCAGGTAGGCGGGTCGTAGTGGTAGTGGTAGGACGACCGACGACCGACGACCGACGACTGACGACCGACGACCGACGACCGACGACCGACGACCGACGACCGACGACCGACGACCGACGACCGACGACGACGACGACGACTACTACTACTACTACTACTCGATGCTTCTTGTAACGGCCTAACAACTGATACGAAACGCGCGACCATCCTGAACACATAAGATCGAAAAAGGAACCATGGAAGACCAACAATATGTGCCCATGGTATCCCATGGGAACTTGTCAGGCATTGGAAGACCAGTCCCACCTCTACTTCATGTACGAACAGTATTCTTGCGCCGGGCCGTGCAGATGTTGGCCATGCTTCTGGAGCCAGGATTCATTACGTCCATCCTTGACATGCTTTGTTGCACCTTAGTGATCCGTCGTGAAGAACCCCATTGAGACGAGATATGTTTCAGAATGCAAGGTGGTTTTGGCCGTGGGTCCTGCACAAGAGGCTTTAGAGCAGTAAGAACTGAGGTCACATTGCAGTCGGTCTTAGATACGCAGTGGACCCAGGAGAAGCGCGAGGGAGGCATTGTCATAGTGGCGATGTTTCAGTCCGTTGTCCTTGAAACAGACTGAACATTGGGATAAATACATCCTGAGGGAGGAGATCAGGCCATTACATGCACAGACACACACACTCACACATGCAGGAAACGACAGACTGGGGCGTCAACCCCCTGATGTACAAAGTTGAGTGAAGCCTCTACAACAGCTACAAGTTGCTTTGATCTCTCATTTCAGCGAGGAGGACATCGTACAGATTGCGAGAGAGTGTGCTGCAGCCATGGCCTTTGCTGCAAGCATGAACTTGACCGGACCCCCAGATGCAAACGAACCCTGCGGACCGGACCTCCGTTTCAGCTTTCAGGACCGAACTTGCGGGCGACACCAAAAACTTGCCACGGAAGTGCCATCAACAGTTTTTTTTACAAAGAACATCTCTGACCGGCCGAACAACATCGAGCATGAGCGGAGGTTGCACCTTTCGTGGACTTTGAGCCATGTGTTGATCCCAGCCACACGCCGGAAGCATCCCATGCTCTGCAAGGCCGGGAGTGAGGGCAGAGACTCTGGAGTGTCCCAAAGAAGCCCTGCTAAACCGACCCCCTTGTGCTGGTCGGGAGGTCTACTTATACAGATTCCTTCCTTGGGTCACCGCTGACCGCACCGTTCCCGCGGCTCTTCCCGGATGGGCATTCCCGCTGCTCGGATGGCTCGCTTTCGACAGGTCTTCGGACTGGGCCTCATGGGCGTTGTCATCAATGACACGTCGAGCTCCGCCGCTGTGCGAAAGCAGACCACGGTGGGCCGCCGGTGAGGGAGATATTTTGGGTCGTCTTAGGTTGGGAGTTCGGAGGGTTTTGGCACCCCATAGAGAGCAACCATGGACATGCCGAGCAACCCCAAAAATCTAGGAACCAAATGAATAGTGCGTTAGCTATCCTGCGTCCTACCTAGGAGCGTCCTGTACCTACTAGCTACCCTAACTCCGTACTTAATTGATCTTAACTAAGTAGGGAGAGAAGGGGGGAGAGCAAACGGGCAAAAAAAAACACGAGCCGGGAGTGCCTGAGGATCACCTCTGCTGGGCACCTGAATGCATCGAGAGGCCGAAACCCCTTCGAGAGGCTTTCGAGGTCGAAACCCGGAACAAGGTCTTTGGATATGTTTTTTCCTTCCAGGCAGAAGCTCTGCAGAAGCTTGTAAACTGGTGACCGCAAACTCGCCCTGAGCCGGGTTTCGGACGTCGATGGCCGCAGGTTTCATCACGTAGGCCCCAACGGCTTCCTGCAGAAGGCAGGCATTCAGCATCCCGTTATTCATGTCCAGGAGATATAAGGATTTTTTGTAGCTTCCTTCCTTTCGTGTCACTGAAGTCCAATGGAAAAAGTGCTGAGATCCAAGATCCCAGACAGGCAATTGTTGGTCCAAGAGGCGATAATTAGACAGCGGATTTCCCTTTGGAGTTTGATGATCGGGGACTTTCAATCACCCTGGAGATTGGAGGGGGTTTAAGCTGGTGCCACTCCTTCAGGTGGAGCAGTCTATGAAGCCTATGTGCGGGCGCTCGAGAGAATTGGGTGAAAGCTATTTTGCCACCGATGAAACAGAAGTCCTTTTGGTAGCCCAGTGGAAGAGCTCATGTAGGTTCGGCCATTGGCCTGCTCTTTTGAATTTGGGTGCTCATTGAGGATGCAGCCTTTTCTTGTTTCAAGAACCGATTTGCAGCAAAATGCTGCCAAAGCTGAAGACGTGACAGTGTTTTGAGCTGCAGCACTGGCCACTTCCTTTCTGTCAGAATCTTCTCCCAAGTTCTCCCGCAAACTCTGAACAATGTGAAAGAGATTGGACAGAGCATCCATCGGTCCATCTCTAACCTTTTGTGAACGCATTTTGATGCATGAACATGTTTATGCAAAGCGATCTACTCAGCACTCTTCAACCGGAATCATGTCGGAATCGTCGGCCATTCCGAGGTGCGACAGTTGGAGCCTGGGCACCATCGTCTACAGCCTGGTGGTGGGGATGGTGGATGGGGTGGAGTTTAAGTGAGTTTGAGGTTTGGGATTCAGAATTTCACGAGATCGTTGTCATCTATTTACTCGGATGCTGCGGTCCGAATAGATTGGAGAACAGAAGGCATTTTGGGGTCTACATGAGTCATGTATATATATATATGTAATATTGAAATATATATATATATGTTATGTCGGAAGTGTGGGAATATAATTTGGGTACTGGTACAGGTTGGTACAGGTTTCAATGTGTTTCGACACTGACCTTATAGAAGAAACTCCAGGGAAAGCTCCTTAGCGACTCATTATCTAACCGTTTGGAGACTGCAGATGAACCCTGCTGCCAGGCAGGATTCCTGTCGGTCAGAGGGTAGTTTCGATGATCGGAAGCCTGCATCGAGATCTGTTATTTTTTAAAGTTAGAAACTTTAGGATCACGTGTTCGGTCAAGCGCATGGCCCGCACCTCTTCCCGCACTTTCTGCCAGTGTCGGCGGCCTCCAGCGGTGACGGAAGCACAAGCGGGGGGTCTCTTCCGGGCGGGGCAGAAGGGCGAAGCGGGGCGGTCAAAGGGAGCCAGAGGCCCCAGCAGGCCTGCGAGTTGCAGACTTTGTGATCCCAACGGTGCCGTTTGCTGGCTCGACGTGGCTGTCTGTTTCAGACTGCCTATTCTTTTCAGCAGCTAAAGACACTGATCAGTTTGCCACTGTGATATCATCCTTTAGCTTTTTCATGGTCCAGCCTTTCCAGATACAAATGATACTAATATACAGGTTCAATGGTTCAACCAAGATCGACTAGTTCTGAGTTTGACCATGTTGTTTGACCAAGATCTACCTACAACATCCTACAAACAGTTTAAGACAGTTCAAGGGTTGCAGCCTCACTGAAGGAGAATGTCGAAGCTTTCAAAAGCATTGCCAACTTTAGCCTTTTGTGGCCTTCAGCGCCTTGGTTGGATGGCCCGCCACGGGACCCGCTGCCTCGTTCTGGCGGCCTTTGGCGCCTCTGTCAGTGCATGGCTCTCTCTGCCAGGAAGGGTTGGGTGCATGCACTGAATGCAGCAAAGCACAAGAATTCCTATCCCAATCCTCACTGATTGCACAGACCAAGAACCGTTTTCCCTTGGCAATTTGATGCTCTTGGGACGACGAACATGCAAAACACAAATCGGACCTTGACCGACTCCGACGACGAGAGATCACGCGTCAGCCAGGAAGTTCCTCCAGACCCGTCCCGGCCCGGGCGAGCGGATCCGCTCGACGAGCGAGTGGAAAGGCGAGGCTCGTTGTTCCGAATCCAAAAAGAACATGGCTGGCTGTTTCTAGAAACTCTGTGCGGTTCAGTTTGTGGAGGTCACGTTCGTCCTGGGTGTGACGAGAGTTGGCCACTCCTAATTTGTAGAAATGCTAGTCGCTGCCTTGCCTGGTAGGCAAGTTCTGGCCAGCAAAGGCGCAGAAGGGAGGGTTTCGTTTGAAGCCTTTGCTGAAGCTGACAAATCTTTGCCACGAAATCCCTACTACTGCAACCATTGAAGCCTACTTTCTTTCCTTTTAAGCCCAGACCACCACTGGCCTTAAGCTTTTCACAGCTGCAACAGGCCAGATAGACCACTCCAGGGCGAGCAGACATGTTCTTTTGAAGGCGTTAAGGCGTTAAGCTCTCAGTTCTGTCTCCTTTTTGGCTCGTTTCTTCTCCTATTCTCAAATCCACCTGTTCAGGGCGGGATCAGCCCCTGGCGCCACCTTGGCTTCCTTGAGCATGGCATACATGGCCGGAATTGCTTCTTGGACTCGAGGAGGGACACTGTTTCTGAGAAGACAACGCATCGGGGGTTCGGTTTCTGTGTGAAATTCACGGTGAAACCATGAAAATTCCACTCCAACTAGACATGTTCTCAAGTCCAGTGTTTCAAGGTTGCAACAGAGCTGATCGTCTTTGACTTTGGCTCACCCAAAGCACCTTGGCGAGGCAGTTGTGTCATGCATAGAAGCATCCAGAATACCAGAATACCATATCATGTTTGATGGCTTGTGCACACAATGTTACAAGCGATGAGCAACTATGACTAGTGCATGAGTCACTATACATATGACTCATATGACATATGTAATCATATGTACACTGTACTCAGAAAGGACACATAAAGCATGATCACGTGCTCTTGTCCATGGGATTGGCAAGTGGATTGTTTGGAAACTGACTCCCTACGCTGGCGTGACTGTTATGCCTTGACCTTGACCGCTGAGGCAGCATACCACTTTTACTCAGCCTCCCTTCCTTCGCTAGTGGTCCCTTGGATGCAAGTGCAGCAAGCACAAGCTTTGACCATGGACTCTGCCCAGATTCAAACACATTTTTCTAGCTAATTCTGGAGTTGATCTTCACGTCTCTTGGTGCCTAGACCTTTCCTCAATGTCTGCGGATCGTTGGGCTCCTCAGTGCGTCACGTGATGCGAAGGACACTTCGCGGTCGATTCCCTTCTTCGATTCGCTGCACGCTTAGATCGACCCCGGGCGGTCGATCTGCCACAGCAAGCTCCTTGCCCTCCTCTCAGGCATGCCCGCTCATGGGGGTGACGCTTGGGATTGGCTTGGAAGCGCGAAGCCCAGGATTTTGAGGACATTGGAAGAGTAAAGCGGCAAGCCGAGGCTGCCTGTCTTGATGAGCCTTTCTTTGGGCTGTTTGGTTGTGCATGTGATCCTGTGAAAACTGGTGTGGAAACTGCTGCAGCACCATGCAGTTGAATCTCAGCTCCGCATCCAAGCTGTGGAGCAGCAGTCCTGCGGCGAGAATCTTGTTTTATTCCATCCTCCTATAGTTGTGTAGATGATTTGTGATAGGATGTGATAGGTTGGTTGAATGCAGAGAAAATCTACAGTATCCCAGATGGCCAGGACGTTGTATGATGCCTCAATGACAGGCCCATACTTACCAGACTGGCGATATACTGGTTGAATCTATTTGATCTGTATTTACATCTATTTGATATGTGTTTACCCCGAATTCGCACCCCCAGCAGGTTTAAGATCGACCGCCCTCAGGCGATGCGGCTGTTCCCCCGGGGTGTGCGCAAGTCTGCAGCGCTGCGCTTGGTGCTGTCGGCTGCAGGCTGGGAATGGTTGTTGGATGTGGGATGATCTTGACATGGGTTGCACACATTTGGACACCCAGATCACGCCCGACACTCACCGAACCAAAAGGAACCGAGTCATCGACTCGCAGCAACATCCAAGCAATTTTGGGAATCGCGGCTTGGATCTCAAAGAAGAGAGTCAATGGCGGCATGACTTGGAGTTTGGAAGCTGCGATGAGCAGCTTATTGCTTGAATGATCTTGAGTGCAACGAGGCCTTTTGCTGCTGTTTGGGCTGCTGAGCTTTGCAAGTGCTGGGGAGTCCCAGTTCTGACTGTCCCTTCAATCCAGTGTCAACCGTCATAATTAATGGATGCCTACTGTACAACTTGACATCGGGCTTCAGTCATCCTATGGTGCTATGTACTTTGTTGGGACTGTGCACGAATTGCTGGCAATTTCTCCGCTGTGCCTCCAGACTCAGTGGTTTCCGTTGCATTCGTGGCTCGAATTGTGTAGTTTCAAGTGATTTGACTGTCCAGTTTTCCTGGTCATTTAATAAGACTTCCAGCTCCCACCTCTCGACTCATGTCGTGGTGCGGGGCGCCAGATCTATCTGATCAAATGCTGCAGCTGGACCCGGATTTTCCTGCAATGTTTCGGCCAAACAGGCAGAGCGAGGCCTATTCGCTGGGCACCATGCCTTCCTCAGCTGCTTGGTTTTCAACCTCCACTGATGTGGTGGCCACCAGCGCCGAGGGTCAGCCGGCGCCAGGGAGCTGGGATGCAGCGCACGCCACGGAAGTGCAACGTGAACTTCTCCTGGCAGAGTTGCAACTGACGTTCCTTGATTTGCAGATGGTGAGAACTCGCATTGAAGAGGTGCAGACGGCACAAACGGTGCTTGCCCAATCCAAAATGGACCAAGCGAGAGGCCCTTCCCATGAGCAGAAGGAGCTCCCCGCATCCAAGCATCGTGGCAACAAGATGTACCCGCGGCCGCAAGCAGGCAGCGCATCTTTTGAGCGCTCGCCATTCCAATTTCAGTGACCCGCAGGGTCCTCAGTCGGCTATGTACGGCTTAGCTTTGCAAGTTTCAAGACTTGCGAGTCGCAAACTTTCGTTCCACGAGGTGGTGACAAGTGACATCCATCTTTTCGGTGCAGCCTTGCAGACAGCGAGGGGGTGGAGCGCATGGAAAAAAAAGACCAGAGCAGCGGAATGCTGGATTCGCAGTGGATTCGCAGTCACACATCGATGAACAGTTGTCAGTAAAGTCACAAAACGACAGAAACATCACACGATTTTGGGATTCTTTCGCTTCATCTCTGCGATCAGTTCGCAGAGCGAGCTTCGGTGACTCACGTCATTTCTGAGGCCATCATCGCCGTGAAGGCTTTCCTCCAGGAATTTCCAAAGCCATGCTGGTTTTGGCTCCGGCACCGGCGCTTGGATCATTTGGAGGAGGTCGTGGCCTGAGGATGAAGATTTGTAAGGGCTATTCCAGTAAGTGAGCAAAGCAATCACAAAATACAGACAGATTACATAGAAGCATTTTTCAATGTTTTTGGAACATATAAATCATACCCTGTGCTCATTCACACACGTCTTCCACATGTTGCTCAACTGCCATCGTTGACAACCCAATACGCAAGTCTTCCTGCCCCGAGAGTGATGCGCAAGTCTCCGGTTTCCCAACACGTCGAGCCTGAGGTTCGAGTGCCCTTGACTCAGGATTTTTCATGGGTTGTGTGGCCGTGAATGAATTCCTCGAGTCAGAGTCAAGGGCCTATGAAATGGGTACTGTACTTGGGAGTTGAAATCAGAAAACTTGGCAATCTTCACAGAGAGTGCCAGATACACCCAGGGTCAGAACTGCACAGTTCTTATCGAACCAGCTAAGGTGGCACGTGGTGATGCTTGTGACATTCCTGATATGTATTTGGCTGCTGAGGCGGGCAGAACGCATCAAGCACCCTCGAGACAACTAGGGTGGCCGACGCTCAAAGGTGGCAGCGAAGCTGAAAGGGCTGACGCTCCGTTCGATGTGGCGAAAAGGATGAAAAGACGAGCCTCACTGCGCCTGGGTTCGAGAAAAGGGACATCCCTGGCAATGCTTTTTTATGATTCCAAGATGTTCACTTACTTAAACAGCGAAGGGTCTTCAAAGCGTCCCTCAGGGTCCAACAAACATCCTCAAATATCTCAGATTGCAAGAATGGACTCCTTGGAAGGTCCATGTGCTTGATTTCCTTAAGGATTTGCCCTCAACGACCGGGTCCAGCAGCTCGCTTGTGTTAGCCGGGTGATGAGCTTTCCCAAGACGCGTCGAGGGCTCTCTGCCCGGCTCTCTGCCCGTAGCCGGGCCCCTCTTCCTCGCTCGCTTGAGGCCCAGAGTAAGAAATGGTCCTTCACATTGGCGATCGATGACGCGCCTCGGCGGGTGAACATGAAGGGGTGAGGTGAGGGTCTTCAAACGCACTCACCGACCTTGATGGGATTTCCCGACTGAAACCGGACGCAAGGATGTTCGTCTCCTTCTCTTTGGTTGCTAGAGAAGCGACTGCCTGTTGTTGACGGGCGAGCACTCGCTTGTGCACTTGAAATTTACCTCGCTTGTGCACTTGAAATTTACCTCGCTTGTGCACTTGTACGATG